TTCCTCCTTCGTCCGTCCGCCTCCCTCCTCTCTCCTCCCTCCTCCCTCATCCTCCTTCTCCTCCTCCTTCTCCTCTTCCTTCCTCCTCCCCCCCTCTTCCCTGATTATTTCTCCTCTCTCCCCCCCCCCTGCGTCCCCTCTGTTCTCCTCCCACCTCCTCTTGTCTCTTCCCTCATCCTTCCCCTCTTCATCCTGGGAAGACCCCCTCCCACGTAGAATCATAGCATTGGTCTGCATATGCACAGCTCCGTGGATAGCATGATGCTTCACTTGCGGTGCTCCGCGGATCCCATGTCCCCTGGGTCCCGGATGTTAAGTATTATTATATGTTTCCGCGAAATAAATGGATTCATCGTTTTTTATGTATAAAAAAATAACACGCAGGAAACTGGATCCGCGCAATTCTCACATTTTTAGTCCAAGAAGAAAAAACTTTCGGCCTGGGGATGTAGTGCTGATGACAGAGCTCCCCCAATCGATGGCGCGCCTTCCTTGCCATCTCGCAGCATCAATTCATTTCGCGATGCGCAGTGCCCCGGGATTACAGGGGGGGGCCCAGGTGGCGAGCCCAGTCCGACACAGTCCCCGGGATAATAGATCTGCAGGCCCGGAGCGCGCGACGCGCGGCGTAATCATGACGTGCGAAATGAAGTAACATCTCTTCCCTGCTAATGTCTTGTCCGTGTCCATAAAGCGGTGGAGCTTCGTCTTATACGCCGTCCAGTTTCCCTAACTCATCTAGAAGGGCCCGCGGCGTACCCCCTGGCATACAAGTGCAATTTTCTCCGCGCCGTCCACGTTCGGCGCCTCCTTTGCGCGGCGCCAGCGTTGAACGGGCAGTTTTTGCGGCGGCGACCGTGTGGCCAGGGTGTCGCGCTGCAGGGGTCGTTCGGCCGTCCGCGCCAGGGCGCCCAACTCCGCAAAAACAGATCCACTGACACGCAAACACCTCCATTTCCCGTCCTGCGCGCCCAGTTTAATCGTGGCCGAGCGGTAGCGCTGACGTCATTCATTTCGGTCAGCTGCCGCATGAGAAACTGACGGGTCCGAGTCAGACCGGGTCGAACTTGCAAATGCATCGCTCATGTCCTTAAACGTGTCGCAATATGTGATCCCCAATCATTTAGCCCGCCACGCTGTTGTTAAGCTCGTCATCGCAGCATTTTCCCGTCGTTGATGTTTTACGCAAGCATGGTCGGCCACCGTTGGAGTAACCTTCAGCTTCTTAGCACAGCAGGACTTGCCTGCGAACGGCAGAACGTGAACCGCGCGAACCCCCCTGGGTCCTTCCTCCAGCCACTTTGGGATGTTCGCGCCCTGAGATTTGTTCCAGTATAAAGACACCCCCTGGTGCTCCCGCATTTTTGCCAGCCCCGGACTAAGAAGAGACCAGGAGCCCTGCGGCGCGATTTTCGCTGCAGCTCCTAGCCAAGCCCGAGAACGAACTCTGTAGTTTGGCCACGTGCACTGGTGCCAGAACTCCAGAGGCGCGGTCCCCGCAGGAACCGACTTTCTCTCAGGTGCCCTCCTGGCGTATCTGCGAATTTCGTGAATATCTTCTCCGACGAGCTCCAAGGCCTCCTCATTCGAAATGTCGGAGAAGAAGACGCCAGTGTCCACCCGAGAGTCCCTCCAGTTCTGCCAAGAATATACGACCACCTCCCCGCCGCCCTCAGGCCCAGACTTGCCCCAAGGCTTCGAGTCGAGCTTCTCGGCTAGGGGGGTGCGGCGAACTAAACGACCATCGTGACGTTCGGGCCCGTGCCGCGTGCCAGCTGCGCGCCCGGTCAGTTTCATCCCCTCTGCCGCGCGCCCCTGATGCCACAGATCGACAGCCTCGCGGGCAAGTTGAGTTCTCGGCCTCCGGGTCACGTGGCGTTGATCTATGTGAGCTGGCGGGTTCACTCCTTCAGTTCATGGTCAAGGCGAAGAGGGCTTCCTCAGGTGATGCTTGGTCCTTGGCACTCCGAAGCTGGGCTCGCCGTGCCAGAAGAGTGCCCACGCCCAGACAATCGGCCGAATATCCAGGACGAGATTCCATGTGAATGGGTAAAACAAGCCTGGCCTGCCTCCGCCAAGACTCGCTCCAGCTCCTCGAAGTTCTCCTCGGGGGACGCATTGTCTCTGAACCACTGCAGGTGGAGAGGATCGCATCTGGTCTTGAGCGTCTCCAAGCACTGTGCGCGCACTCGTGCTTCACGCTCTCATCGTTCTCGAGTGAGAGATGCGTCGACAGTGCCGCCGTGTTTCCCATGCCGCAGGACAGCCGCCACAGGGACATGATCACGAGATGATGCTCTTCGAATCGCATGCCGCTTGGCGCCCGGGCGGAGATGTGCCCGACACGTAGACACCGAATCATACATAGCCTGGCGAACAACCCAACCATATGCAGTTGTGAGCAATTGTGGGCATCGTCTTCCGTGGAGCTCCCTCTGTGCCACGAAACGCCCTATTGGGTGGGGGAAACGCATGCGGACTGCGCCACCTGCGACCTTCGGTGGAGCTCCCTCTGGGACCACGAAACGCTGTAGTGGGCGGGGAGCCACGTGCGGACTGCGCCACTGGAACCTTCGGTGGAGCTCCTTCTGGGGCAGGAGGCGCTGTACTGGGCGGGGGAACCGCATGCGGACTGAGCCCCTGGGACCTTCGGTGGAGCTCCCTCTGGGGCCACGAAGCGCTGTACTGGGCGCGGGGACCGCATGCGGACTTCGCCACTGGAACCTTCGGTGGAGCTCCCCCTGGGGCCACGAAACGCTGCGCTGCGCGCAGGAACCGCATGCGGACTGCGCCACTGGAACCGCAACTTCTGTGGAGCTCCCCCTGGGGCCACGAAGCGCCGCACTCGGCGCAGGATCCGCATGCGGACTGCGCCACAGGGACCTTCGGTGGAGCTCCCGCTGGGGCCACGACGCGGTGTATTGGGTGGGGGAACCGCATTCGAACTGCGCTACCTGGGACCTTCGGTGGAGCTCCCTCTGGGGAGACGAAGCGTTGCACTGGGGGCAGGAACCGCATGCGGACTGCGCCACTGGAACCTTCAGTGGAGCTCCCTCTGGGGCCACGAAACGTTGTAGTGGGCGCAGGAGCCGCATGCGGACTGCGCCACTGGAACCTTCGGTGCAGCTCCCTCTTGGGACCCAAACTCTGCACTGTGCGCAGGAACCGCATGTGGACTGCGCTACTGGTACCGTCGTTGTAGCTCCCTCTGGGGCCACGAAACGTTGCACTGGGCGCAGGAACCTCATGCGGACTTCGCCATTGGGACCGTCGTTGGAGCCTCCGCTGGGGCCACGAAACGTTGTACTGGGTGGGAGAGACGCATGCGAACTGCGGAGGAGAGAGGAGGGAGAAGGGGCGAGGAGGAAGGAAGGAGGAGGAGACGCGTTGCGCTGTCCTTTCAAAACGAGGACCCAGCACCACAGGATGGTTGGGAAACGATCAATTCGTGACTTCTCACTAGTGCCCAAACACGCGCATTCAATCTCAGGCCCGAACGTGTTCGCGGCCGGGAGCTCCTGAGTCTCCATCAGCATACGCATCCGGTGACCTGCATCGTTCACACATAACTCGATCGGCATGCCCACTATTGGAGAATCAACTGGCGACTACACTCCGTCCGATGTAACTTCACCACTACCATCATTCAGACCGCAAACAACGATCGGCGTGCAGCGAACTGGAAGAGCACAATATGGCCGTGAGCCGTGCAACCAACCTCGCCACAGTCTTGAAAAAACCTCCATGTTCAGCACGTGACTTCGGACGGGGTGGGGGATAACATACTATGCCACACATGTCAACCGAGCCGCACTTCACTCTTGCTGCAACCGCTCTGCCTCGCGCCTCTGGCGGAGGCGCCCACGTCCGAAGTAGGTGTCGAGCTTGCACCTGCGGGCCGAAGGCGAGTGAGCAGCCACAGCTGTGGTTGCTGAACGGCGATGGGAAGTACGGACCAGTGATACACATTTTGCCAGCGCTCAGCACAACTCGTGCTGTGAACATGCGGGGCGAGAGAATTGTGTTCCACCTGCTGAGTACCTGCCAGAAGAACCAGATCGGAATTCCTTGTTTCCTCCAGGAGTTCAGGAAGGCGTTCACCTGACGTATGTTGAGGATTGGATCCACACATTCTCAGGAAAGGCATACCTTCAGAGCACCTCCCGCTGGGCCGCAGACATCATCCCCGCGGGTGGCGGCCGCAACTCTTCGGGTCGCGCGCGGGGAGCCGCCCTCCGTGCAATCTCTCAATAAAGAGGGGCGTGGAGGAGGAGGATGGAGGAGGAGGAGGAAGAGGAGGTGGCGCCCAGGGGCGACGGGGATGACGCGACGAGGAGCTAATGCCGAAGAAGAAACGCGGATTGACCCCCTCGCGGCTGCCCGCGCAGGAGATCCGCAAGGTGGAGGAGGCGGCCGCACGCGCGCAGTACGTGTTGCACACCCGCGGCGCGAAAGGCCGGGGCAGCAACCCCCGTCCCCCGCGCGCGCGCGCCCTCCGCGAGCGATGGCTCGCCGCCGTCCCTCATCGGCGGTGACCCGGGCCCATCGCTGGGGGGAAGGAATGGTCAGGAAGGCCCGAGGACGAGGGGTCGAGATTCGCGGTTTTCGGACGTGTTCGTTTGTTCTCGGCTTGTTTCTGGCCTCGGGCTGTTTTCCAGCAGCTGCGCTTCGCCGAGAGCATTCTGGGGGTGCTCGAATCGTCCCGAACGGCCGCCTGAGAGCCTAGGTGTGACCTGAAAGCCAGGGGCAACGATCGACGAGCAAACATAATCATACGAACAACAATAAGGATAACAACGCTACTAAGGCGAACAATAGTAATAGAAACAAGTGTAACTAGTAAGACAAAGCAGTGGAATCATGTTGCGCTTGCGGTTCTGGCCCACCGCACCTCGGCGTGACACGTTGACAACTTCTCGGTCACCATGCGTCCACGTTCCGAGCTTTTCCCAGCCTCCCGCCCCGCGGAGCGGAGCGACACGTTGTCCACTCGCTGGGCATGGCGTGTCGCCGGGGCCGCCGCCGCGACACGCTAAACAACAGTTCTCGACCGTTGGAATGGGATGGTCGGATAAGAGAGGGGTGAGGGGATGGACGGGGAGGGGAACAAGAGTTAGCGTGTGGTCTGTCAGATAGGTTTTGGGGCAGCTTTTCCATGTCGATGAGCTGCTCCGCGCAGCGCCCAGTCTCTCTCCTCGCTGTTGTCGCCTCTGCTCGTGCCTCTTCCCCCTGCTCCGCCGGCTCGGCTGATCCTCGCGGCTGCTCGCAGGACTTCGCCTCGGACCCAGCGCCCTGCTCAGCGGCCGCGGGTGCTGCAGTCTCTCTCCGCCGTTCGGCCGCCGCGAGGCGGCGCCTGTTTCCCTTGTGCCCCTGGCCAGCTTCCGCTGCGCACCCCTCTCGGTTAGAGCCAGGACCCCGGGGAAGGGGACCCGGTTCGTGGTAGGGCCCCGGGGCCCTGGAATTGGCCAGATTCACTAAACCAGGTTTGCCGTAATTGGGTGTTTTTCGTGTGACGGCAGCTCCGGTTAGTGGAGATGGGACGGGGGGCGCCCCCGGTACAGATCACGTAACCAGGTTCTTCTAAACCCAGTTCTGCCGACGCCCGACTCTCTACCGGCCCCGTGCTTCTCCGCTCCCGGCCCCTGACATCCTGGCGTCGCGGCTGTCACAAGAACTGCTATTTGGGCCTACGGGGGGCCCTTACCGGGACCCCTGGGACGGTCGGGTTCCCAGGAGGGGGCCCAGACTCGTGCGGAGCCACGCTGCGAAATCATCACGACGCTGGATGTCGGACGCCCGTGGCTGCTGCTGTTTTTTCCCCTCTGGCGGTGAGTCGGGCCCGCTTTTTGGGCGGTTGCTCTTTCTTGGCGCGGGCGCCTCTTGTTCGCCTGGCTGCCGCAGTTGTTGCCACCATTTGTTAAGGCAGCTCAGAATGCCAGTCGTCACGTTCGGGCTTCGCGCTTCCCGACACTTCCGTCGTGGTTGGTTCTTGTCCTTCTACTTCTTGTCGTTCGCGCCCGCAAGGGGCTTCCCCGATGCAGTTGTTTGAGCATCCGCCAGATGTCCAGCAGCTGGGGCATCTGCGCTTCTTTTCCCAATTCGCTGGGTGCGACGCGTGAGCCCTTGTCAGCCCTGTCCCTCTCCTTGGCCCTCGTTGTCGTCGTCGTTCGCTTCTCTCTCTCTCTCTCTCGCCTTCCTTGGCTTCGGCCTCGCCTTGTCGCTCCGTCGTGGTCGTCTCGTCTTCCTCTCGCTTCCTCCTGGCTTCGCTCGGGCCCATTGCCGCAACCGTTGTCTCGCCAGTTGTGCGTGGCACCTGCCAGGTCCGCTGCGTGGCACTCATTCGACTGTTCCCATCTGCTCACACTTGCCCGCCCACGACCCCAGAGAAAATTGCTTGCGCTCGAGTCGACGAGCAAAAAAACGGGATGAACATACTTCCTCGGAGGTCCGCACGGATTTTGTGGATCGGCGTTGGGCCCACTGGCGGTGCCTACGGCGCCGCCCCCGGCACGTTCCGTGCGCCAGGGATGGGATCCAGCGCCGATTCGAGAAACCCACGCCGACCTCAAGGCAATTCTGTTTTAACAGTTCTTCATATGTATTTCTCATCGAGCGCATTCCTCACAACACTCCTTCGGGTTTCGCTGGCGCGCTTGCGCCTGTGCCCGACCGCTGGTTGCGTCAACGCTAAAGCATCTGGGAAGTGTTTGTGTGTCTCTCGGTTTTCCACGTGCATGCGCGTTTTCGCGTTTTTCCGCAAGCGTCTGCCCCCATCCAGACCACCCATCTGCTTCGCCGGGTGGTAATTCGCCGAAGCGTGACTCGACTCAGCACGTCGGCACTGTGCCGCCACCGTCGCTGGAGGAACAAGTGTGTGTGTGTGTGTGTGTGTGTGTCTGTGTGTGTGTGTGTGTGTGTGTGTGTGTGTGTGCGTGCGTGCGTGCGTGCGTGCGTGCGTGCGTGCGTGCGTGCCTGTGTGTGTGTGTGTGCGTTTCTCTCTCTCTCTCTCCCTCTCTCTCTCTCTTTCTTTCAGTCGATTCCTTACGCTCACTCCTGCCCACTTTTGCCCTCCCTGCGCGTGCCGCCACGCGCGTTCGATTCAAATTATTTTGCGGAGTGCCGCTGGCTCTGCGTAGGTGGTAAAACGAGCGGCGCGCGCCGCCATGTCGTCCGTCACATTAAGATGCCATCGTATCCAACAAAATGTTGTGAAAGGGGTCTACTGGGATAGGAGAAGATGAAGATGATACTCCATATTGGTCAGTCCATCTTGACCATCTGATCAAACAGTCTACCAGCCGAAGGAGAGCAGGGTGTTGTCCCTTGCGTTGGCCCAGATGATCGCTTTCATCGCAGCCGCAAGGCAGCTGACAGTGCTGGCGTGATGCCAGGTGACAAACCTGACCGATCTCGCGAGTTCGTTGCTCTGGGAAACGAGGTATGGCGTGCATCATCATATTTTTATTTCTGGAGCGACAAATCATGATTTTGAAAAAGATTCTGACGGTGAGCGAGGGTCCTCGCGATCTCACTGCCAGATGTGGCGGGATTTGTGTATTTCACGATCAGTACCAGGCGTGCCGAGTAACAATCGGGCTGGGGCTAACCGCCTCACGAGCAGGAAACCGATTTCGCGTTAGCGCCGCCGAAAATTATTTGAAGGTGCCAGGAGCGTACGGTGCGGCGTATGGGACGGACTTCCCATTGGAAGTGCAGGCTGGGATTGACAACGTTAATTTGCCACGGAAGAGATTCAAGACGGCGTGGGAGAAGGGGATCGCGAAAAACAATTTTGGCGATCAGCACGAGCACTTGCCCGACACAGGAGAAGAGGACGACGCGGAAATAGACCAGCAGCCTCTTGGCCTCGACGCGGAAATCTCGGACCGTCGAGCGATATACGGTGTGGCGTGGTCGCACGGCGGGATATCGATGCCCACGGCAGTCAGGGAATTGTGCTCGGCCCGCCTGCTGGGTGGCTCCTACGAGGGCAAGGATTGCAGCGTGAACTTCCTATGTGATGGGCGACTTGCACCACCCAGCCACGCCACCATTGCATAGCGGAACGCAGACTGGTAGGCAGCTTCGAAAAACAAAGGCCTCGGTCGCACTATTGAAGTTTTTTTTTAAAGGACAGGAGCTCCAGATTCGGCAACTAGAAATACTCAGGCTGAGGCAGCGGAAAAGACCCGGGCGAGAGTCGGCATCGAGATTGCCGCGAGCCAGGCCCGCGCAGAGGCCGAAAAGGCCCGGGCTGAATTCGCAAGGGAGATTGAGGCTCGACGAATAATGGATCAGCGCTTGCTTCTGCTTGGGCGCGATGCCTCTGCCTCTGGCGAACCTGAGGCTCAACGGGTTGCCCGACTCGTCGAGATGTCTGAAGCTGGGGCCAAGGGCGCCACTATGGTTGAGACGCGCGAGGCCCGGGCAGCGCGACGCGAGGCTGGGCGCCGAGAATCTACAGGGGGCAACGTTGCAGAGCGTGGGGCAAGTCGTGGCGGGAAAAGAGGGGGCGAGCAAGCTTCGATAATCGCAGAGAAAAAGGCGCAGACCAAGGAATCCATCCGAACCCCGCTCCTCGAAGGTCCGTGATTGATGGTGCAAGGCGAGGCGGCGTGAACAATCCTCCTCACCATCATCACCATCATCAGATCAGCATCATCCTTCTCAACCGCCTTCTCCTCCTGTCAACATCCTCGTACTCTTCCCTTCTCTCTCCTCCGCCTCCCCCGCCCTATCCTCGTCCTCCACCTCCCCCTCCTCCTTTTTCACCTATACCCCTTTCCGCCTTCTCAGTGCCAGCAGCACCGCCAGCATCAGCGCCGTCAGCGCGAGAACCAACAACGCCACCGCAGCACCAGCAGCAGCAGCAGCAGCAGCATCGCCATGCTGCACCACCAGCAGTGCCAGCACCAGCAACAGCACCAACAGCAGCACCCCCAAGGGGAAAAAGGGGGTTAGGAAACTCCTCAAACCACTCCTCAAACCACCTGCGCCCAGATCTGCCTTCTTGCCGCTGGCGCGCGAGGGGGCCGCCAACCCCGTCGGGGCCACGGGCCTCTTCGGGCCGCTGGCGTGCGAGCGGGCCACCGACCCCTAGCGGGGTCACGTGCTTCTCCTGGCGCGTGCGCGGGTCGCCGACCCCGGGCGTGTGAGCAGGTCGCCAACCCCGTCGGAGCCACGGGCGTGTGAAGGGGTCGCCGACCCGCCTGCATCCGGGCCACGGGCGTGTGAGCGGGCCGCCGACCCCCAATGGGGCCACGGGCCTTTCTGGGCCGACGGCGTGTGCGCGGGCCGCCGACCGCCCTCGGCGCCGACCTCCCTTCCCCCGTCAGCTCTCCTTGGCATTGTTGCTGGATGGGCTGGTGCCGCGCGAAACGTCAAGAATTTTGGAACCATTTTGACGTCTTGGGGGGGTCCTTGGAGGCTCGGAGGGCAATGGGGACACAACCAACCAGCCAACCTAGCGACCAACCAACCAGCGAACGGGCATCTAATGGCGCGTGAACCGGCCGCCGACCCCGTCGGGGCCACGGGCATCTTAAGGCCGCTGGCGTGTGAGCGGGCCGCCGACCCAAATTGGGGCCGCAGGGCCGCTGGCTTGTGAGCGGGCCCCCACTGGGGCACGGGCTTCTCGGGGCCGATGGCGCGTGGGCGGATCGGCGACCCCGTTGGGGCCACTGGCGTGTCAGCGGGTCGCCGACCCCCAGCGGGGACGATGGCGCGTCAGCGGGTGGCCGACCCCCAACGGGGCAAGATAGCAGAAGATGCGAGGTAAGATCGTGCAAGATCACAACAAGTTATAACCCCTGTATAGCGGGGATGATAACTTTGCATAACTACGCCACATAGATGATAACTAGCGGGCCCAAGCGCCGCAACTTTGCCGGATGATGTCCCAAAGAGATAATATGTATGCCAGGCTCGCCATCTTCTGAGTATGACCGGCGCAGATGATCTATGATGATCCATGGTGTAAGGTGACGCGAGATGATGCGAGGATGATGCGAGATGATGCGAGGGAGTTAGAACTATGACCCCTTTTTCGCTATCATCTAAGATCATCTCGCAGTGCCGCCGCCCATCTAAGTGGGGTTGGGTGGTGCGCCCCTAAATTTGAGCCCGCTCTTCAGCGAGGTGTCTGCGGCTCATGACATGAAACTGAACAGGTGCAACAATTTCATGGGTGAGCGCGCCTGAGCGCTTCTGGGTGGAGTCCTTAGAAATGGGGGGCCTTTTGGGGTTGGGGCAGCTGGTACCTGGGGCTCTCGCCGCGCGCGCGTCGCGAACAACCGGCGGTTCCAGACGTAAGTTCGCCAGATTTTGCAGTGCGCCCGATGGGGTCAAACCGCTGGTGGCGGCGCCCATCCCGGCGGGTGCGGGGCCGGGCTCGACGTCGGTTGCCGCGACCAACCCGGGGGCCCCGCCCCGACGATACAAACTTGTACATGCAGTTGTCCCCCAGAGCGAACAGTCTAGACAAGCAGATGAAAGACCATTGGGCGCTGTCGTCTGCCGCGCGCGGGTCGCGGCGCTCGCGATTCTTGAGACGAGCGTGAAAGAGAGACGCCGCCGCCGCGTATTTCGCGTGGGCCCCGGGGCTTCAGCAGCGCATGCCAGTGGCTTGTTCTCTGCCCTGTTGGAGGAAGTTCGGCAAGCTGTCCAGGGGGTTCAATTGCGCGCGAAGGCTGCCCTTCTTGAAATCGAGTCAGCGTCCAGAACGTTGTTCCCTAATCGACGCGAGTCCCAATGCCCTAGATTCCGGCTCCCTGGGCGTGTTCGACTGGGACTTTGCCGACCCTGGGGGGCAGGGGAATTTCGCCTTGTAAGTGATGGCCGGGCAGTGTGGGTCTCCCAGAAAGGAGTCGATTCGAATTGAGGTACAATCGTAGATTTGGCTCGCAGTTGGGAAAATGCCGCGAAAAAAGCGGGTACTTAACGCTCCCCGCCACGAGGCGAGACGTTGCGCCCGAGTTCAATGAAGCACGCGCTGACCATCACGGGCTTGAACGGGCGCTGGAAGATACCGTGCCCAACCAGGCTGCGACTCGCAATGGGGGTGCACAGTGCCGATTGCGAGACTGTGACGCTCCCGGCAACTGGCCAGTCGCCTGTCTGGGCCGGAGGGGGCGAGGGAGTTTCCCATTCCGATGAAGTGCGTTTCGGGCGAGGTGGCCGCGGCCTAATTAATCGACGAACCTGACCGCGACTGCGGCGCAAGATGAACCCGACTGGGACCTGACGGGTGAAGAAGAGCGTGCGCCGTGGCATCTTGGCGATAAGGATTGTTTGCGCGAGAGATATTTCGCGTTGTGATGGATGCGTCCCATTCGTGTGCTGACCCTGCGACCGTGCAGGACGACGGCAAGATGGACCGCGCGTTCCGCGACGCCGTTGTGCGTGGCATGCAGAAGTATCACGGGGAGATGTTGACAGGCGCATGCGTTGTGGAGGCGGCGTCATGAATGGGTCGATTTGCCTCTCCCCGCGAGAGGGATTGAAGGGTGGCGCGGTCCTGCCCGCTGGTTTTGCTGCGAGAGAAGAATCAGGCATCCTCGGAGGGGAATGGGATGTTGGCGACGCTGATCGATCCGCAGGTTCTCGAGATGAGAATGAATGGGTCGAGCGATCGAGGAGCGCCGGATGTGGTTGACCACGAATGCTATCTGGATGAGAATTAGCTACATGAATTGGGGAGTCAATCCGCACTTGCACTCTGCCGCCGCGTCGGCGGCTGGCAGGTTTGCGTTGCCCCCCTCCGCCACCGCGGGGGTCGGGCATAGGTGGTTATGTTGGCCCCGGCCCAGACCCGGATTCCGGGCGTGATTGAGGGCGGGTGGGGGGGGGGGGACAAGGGGGCCGCGGGCGCGGCGAGTGGAAAGCGCCTGCCCCGAGGAGGGGGGGGCGCGTGGTGGAAACGAGGTCGGAGGCAAAGGTGGTTGGAATACATCTTGGTCTAACAACGGTCGCTGGGGCAGCGATGCCAGCAAGAGCCGTGGAAAAGAGGGCGAGAGATTGTGGGCCAGGGCTGTCGAAGCAGGCAGTGCTAGCGGTGGCGACTGGAGCTCGCGGCAGGGGCAGGTGCCATAAAGCGAGCAGCGCCAGTGGTGGCGAACAGAGCTCGGGGAGCGGATGGCGCGACAGTAAATGGAAGGTGGGTTTGGCAAGTCGTCGCGGGCGCGCGCTTCCGACAAGGAATTTGGCAGGAAGCGCAAGAAAGACGGTTGGTCGAAAAGGCAATCGAGGTCGTCGCGAGCTGCGGGGCGACATAGTCGAATGAGCGATCAGCTCTGGGCGCCCCGCGTTCCTGGCGCACTGCGGGTCCGTCGAGCGACCGCCTTTGCAGCTGCGGCATTTTTAGGGACTTTGCGGATGGTGAGCGCGGTGTAATCTTTTTGGGGTTGGCGCTCCATGGCGCGGTGTGTTGAAGGCCGGCATACTGAGGTGCGGCTGGCCGGGTCGCCGACGCGAGGGGGGGGGGGGGGGGGGCAACCCCTTTTGCTCCTTGCTGCTTTCTTCTGCCCTCCATGCGGGTGCCGCCGCGCGCGTTTGGCTCAAGTTACTTTGCGGAACGCAGCTGGTGCTTCGTAGGTGGAAAAATGGAGTGGCGCGCGCGCCGCCATGTCGTCCGTCAGCGTTAAGGAGCATAGCATTCCAAAGACCGTTGTCAAGGGGTCTATTGAGCTAGGAGATCATGAAGAGGATGCATCAAATGCTCTGGGATAGTTGGGTCATCAGGCCCAAACACTATTTTTCTGTTTCTCGCTTTGTACATTTCGTTTCGGGTCGCCCGTAACCCAGGCGAGAACGTTCCTTGTCTTCAGCACGAGCGTCACGCGTGCGATTGCAATTTATGCTGATGTGTCCCTTCAGTCTGCGACCAATCGTTACGACAACGCTGCGCAGGAGGATAATGTGCGTGTGTGTGTGTGCGGTATTGCAGCTATTGTATACACGTGGCCGCAACATAGCACACCGCATGTGCCAACATTGATCCCCGGCCGGACGGCGTCCCCCTGCTCGCTGGTTCATGATGTTTGTTTGTTTGTTTGTTTGTTTGTTTGTTTGTTTGTTTGTGTGCGTGTGTGTCTGTGCTTGTGTGCGGGTGTTCGTGTGTGTGTGTGTGCGTGGTTGTCTGCGTGGTTGTCTGCGTGTGTGCGTCTGCGCGCACGTCCGTCTGTCTGTCTGTCAGTGTGTGTGTGTGCGTCCGTTATTTTATCTCAAGTCGGCTCGAGCGCGTCTCGATGCCGCAGTTCTACCACGCAATGAAGAGGACATGATACCTAACGACCCCGACGGACACGCCACGAGCCCGCCCGTGCAGCTCCCTGCGCCTCCCGGCCGACCATGGAGCACTCCCTCCGGTGCCTGGCGCTGTGCCTCCTCGCCCGCACGGCGGCCCCGTTCGGGGAGCCCCGGGGCCCGGGGCACGCCTCCGAGCCGCACGCCGCGCCCGGGTCGCTACCCCCCGCCGGGGCGGTGGCCGCTCTCCTGGGCCGCCGCGGTCTTCGGGGGGAGCGCGCTCGGGGGGGAGAGATCGGCTCCGCGGGGGCGCCCCGTCCCCCGACGGCCCCACTTTCTCCGCCGCCGGGGCCCCGACAGCCTACCAAGCCCGGGAGGGTGCGGATTTTCCGTCGGGGGTGTATATCGCCGAGGTTTTGGCGACGTGCACGTTGTTCCTCTCTGATTTTTCGAAAGTTCCTCCAATTTTTTGGGGGGTCGAGATCCTTCCATTTCTGACGGTTCTGTCCTGGGCCTCTTCCTGGCCACTGGGGGGCCAGGAACCGTTAGAGACGAGCACGATCAGAAATGAGCACGATCAGAAATGAACGACGTGTATCGCTGATTCCCCCCCACTGAGCTGGTTCCCCCCCCCGCCCGCGGCTCTTCCTCAGGTCTACGACTGCACGCGGGCGCTCCCCTTGCCGGCACGACTGAGCCTCCGCTGCCGGATCTTCCCGGCCACGTTGACGTGGACATTCCCGATGAGCATGATCTCGATCCCGACGACGTGAAGAAGGCGATCTTGGAGGGCGACGCCTCGATCGTGGATGGCGTGAAGCAGAGGTTCAGGGAGTGCATCGACGACTTCCGCAGGCTCCCATCTGGCATGAGGCACATGTTCATCTCAAACCTGCACCTTATCGAGCGGCTGATGCCAGGGATGGAGGCGCGAACGAGCAGCACGTTGACCCTGCCCGTCATTGTGGTCAGTGGCATCTTGTGGGGTACTGTATACTTCATGTTCTTCTATACGCACGACCACGAGGAGCATCATCACTTTGGGGACGACCACTCGCGGCCGAAGACGGAGACGGCGACGGTGGCGCAGATCCTCACCCCTCGAGCTTGGCGGCGGCAAATCGAGGCCACCACCACGTCCACGTCGAGCGTCACATGGGAAGACGCGGCCCATGCGCAGAAGCTAGATGCCAGTCAGGAGTCGACAAACAAGTTCCATATGCATGCCGACGTCGTTTTCGTGTTTCCCCATCCGAGCTACGAGCTGCAGCACGACAGGGACAAGCTCGTCACGCGCGAAATGCTGCAGGGTGCCTTGGCTCACCGGCCGGACCAGGGCTTCTTCCAAGGGATCGAGACCGTCATCAGAGACCACGATCTCAAGGTGTCGCGCGCCACGGCCGCGGAGAAGGCCCTGCGTCGCATCAGGAGCACGGTCGGCGAGGCCTTGGACATAACTATGGGGGAGCTGAGGATCCTTGTCCTGAAGGACATGTGTAGGTCATTGCCGCTCCTTGGTTTCTCCGTGAACCTGTTCAGTTCTATCGATGGCGACGAGTTGTTTCTTTGCATCAGCCTCAACCGGCCGGAGGTCGTCTCACATTACCTCCAGCGGGGGAACGTTGAGCTCCAGACGACGCACGCGGTGGTAGAACGACTTAAGATCCTTCAGGACCCACGGGATCCACAATCGTCGCCTCCGTTCTTGCGCTACGATCAAAGGCTCGTCAAGTCGCTGTTCAAGGCCAACGCAATCGACGAGCCTGATGAGCGGGCACTGTACCGGCTATACCGCGACAGTGGCGTCGAAGGCTCGGTCATGAGCGGCTCGGCGCGCATCCGTGTTATCCAGCTCGAACTCACACGATTCCTCAACCTCGAAGCTGTCAAGGACGTCGGCATCGTCACAGATTGGTACCCGTGCCACAGCGAGCTGTGGCTGAACAGGCTGCGGGACACCTGGGCGCCGCTGGAGGTGGTGACGGACCTGAGCTTTGTGCAGCCCATTCCGCTCGTGGGGGAGTACTACGGCTCGCAGCTGGCGTTCGGCTTCGTGTGGCAGGGCGTGTGGTCCAAGGCAGGGCTGGACCTAAACGGTGTTTTGGCGATTTCGTGGGCCGTTTTCGTTTTGATTTCGTTTTGCGGTGGAGGTGGATTCGAGACAAGTGCGAGGGAAAACGACAACAAAACGAAAACAAAAAAACCGTTTAGGTTCAGCCCTGGTCCAAGGGCCTGGTATGCCTCAGCGTGGCAGCGATCCTGATCACCGTCTTGAAGTTCGTTCCGGTCCGCCTCGCCGTGCAACTGCTCGGGGTCGACGTCGGTGTACGGCTTGGGGATCGCACGGTCGTCCCAGAGAGGCAGCTCATGCCGTTCTCCATCCTCATACTTGCCTGGGCGAGGGTCATGGCGAACCTGTGGAGGCGAGACGAAGAGTATTTCAAGACGCTGTGGAACGAGCAAGATGCCATCGACCAAATCATTCGCCCGAGCTTCAAGGGCGTTTTCATGAAGTCGGATGTCGACGGGAACCTTATGGAAGAGAATGCGCCTTTTAAAACGGCAGTCGGCCTGCGAGTCTTGTCAGTCTGCATCACTCTCGTCTGCTGTGCCGCGGTGATGCTAATATCAGGGACCTGGGTCCACATCCATCGGGGAGACCTCGATCTGGTTGCGTCTCTGTGGCTCAGTATCATCGTGAAGATTTCCGAGCTGCTGTACAATGCGCTTTCTGCCAGGCTCGTCGAGATGGAGAATCACAAGTATGACCAGGATTACCATGACAGCTGGGTGTGGGGTCAGTTTCTGTTCCAGGCCGTGAACAATTATTGGCCCTGCGTATCCGTGGCTTTCAGCCAGCTGGTGTCTGGGCATTGCCCTGAGGCTGGTTGCTTCCTGGCCCTGCAGAGGCAGGTGAGCATGCTGGTGGGTATCCTTCTGGCCTGCAGCATCGGCCTCAGCGTGCTCGAGGCGGTGCAAGTGTGGCTCGTGCTGCGGTGGGAGGACTACAAGCTTCAGAAAAGCACGAGCGAGGACGGCAGCGTGAAGCACCGATCATTCTTGGAGGAGCAGTCGAAGTACACGCCCTTCTCGGCGGCGAGCGAGGGGGGAAGCGAGAAGGAGAAGGCCTTCTCAGAAGGCGGCGGGACTCTTCAGAAGCCCTCGCGCCTCCTGAGAAGCTGCCCGTGTCTTCGGGGAGGGCTCAGCAAACCTCCCCGAAGGCCGGGGGACTTGCGCGAGCCCTCCGAGAGGGCCTCCTCCTCCTCGCCTCCCCCCCCCCTCGCTCGCCGCCGGCCCTCAACATGCGGGCGCAGATCGAGAACATGCTCCAGCTCGTCATCGGCCTGGGCTTCGTGATGCTCTTCGGGACGCTGCAGCCCATGGTGGTGCCCCTGTGCCTCGTGCACTTCGCCTGCGCGCTGCGCTTCCGGGCCCTGCTCCTCACGTGGAAGTTTACGCGGCGCCCGCTCCCCCACAAGCTCGGAGGCGTGGGGGCCTGGTCGTCAGGCGGAGGGAAAGGTGCCCCCACCGCTACCCCTCCCTCGTTCTCCCCCTCCTCCTCCGCCTACTCCTCCTCCGCCTACTCCTCCTCCCTCTCCTCCTCCTCCTCCTCCTCCTCCTCCTCCTCCTCCTCCTCCTCCCCCTCCTCCTCTCCTCCCCCCTCCTCTTCCTCGTCCTCCTCCTCCTCTTCCCCTCTTCTCCTCTCCTCTCCCCTCCTCCTCTCCTCCTCCTCCTCCTCCTCCTTCTCTCCTCCTCCTCCTCCTCCTCCTCCTCCTCCTCCTCCTCCTGGGAGGCCCTCGTCGCCACCGCTGGATTCGCCTCCTGGTCAGAGCGCACCCCAGGAGAGGTCCGGGGAGCAGCGGGATCGGTACCTTCATGGTCTCTCCAGGTCGGGCGTGATGACCGTGCTGATGAACTTTGGCATTTTCTTTTCCGGGGTGCTCGTCGTGCTGTGGGGGCGTTTCTTCCACGGCGCCCTTCTGCTCGCGAAGATTAGTGGGCTCGTTATGTGGTTCATGCTGATATCGGGCATATGGGCGCTGGTGGACATCGTCGTGCCGCCAACGTCCCCACACGCGAAGGCCATAGGGGAATAGACGGGTAGACGCGCTTCGCCTGGGTATCGCTTCGCCCTGCTTGCTTCGCCCAGCTCGCTTTGCCCGAGGCTCGCTTCTCGGGGACGCTTCGCCTGGGCTCGCTCTGCCAGGCTCGCTTCGCATGGCTCGTTTCGCCTGGCTCGCTTCGATCGGGCCTCGCTTCGCCCAGCTCCCTTCGCCCAGATCGTCCCGCCCGGGACGCTTCGCCGCCCACCTCTTCTGTTTCACCCGCTGCTCGTGAGGCTCCACCCGTTGAAGCCAGCTCGCTCGCATGCTGGAAAGCCCGCCCGCCCGCCCGCCTTCCTGGCCCGCCGGCCCAACTTGTTGGGGTGGCGGCCAGCCAGGCCCACCCGCTGGGGCCCCGCCCGCCCGACGTGGCGAAGCGAGCCCCTGCGTAACCAGACTCGGGCGCCTCGAGCCTGTGCCCAGGTCCTGGTCAGGCGCCGGAACTACGCCAGCCGCGTGATCACGGAGGCCGCCATGGACGCGCAAGCTGCAGAGTCGTCCCACAGACCGTCCAATCAGGCTGGTCACGCCCTGGTCGGTGACGAGGCCGCAGACGAGGGCTCATGCTCCAGCGGTTCGGGCTTAGGCGGCGACTGCGACGACGTAGAGGCTTCCAGCGATGAGTCCGGGCCGGCCCCGGGGAAGAAGGCCTCGCGGATGCCGTCGCTTGGGGCCTCCCTCAATCTCGCGTCCTCCACCACGAACAGAACCGTTCATCTTCACCTAGGCTGTGATGTCGAGGACTTGATCCCGCTGGGCAGGATCGTGCAGAACGAGGACTGGCTCGCCATCCCTCGCCTGGACGGCCAGCTCACGAGGACGCCGCGGGCAGGGCGTGAGTCGAGCGAGGCACGCGCGCCCACCAGGTGACGCCTGGGCCCGCCCTGCCAGGCGGTGGTCGGCTGGCCCGCGCGCGTCCCCCGCGGCTCTCCTCGAAAGGGCGCCGCCGGATGGGTCGAAGGGATGGCGGCATCCTGTGCGGTATGCGCGCCGTTCCTCGCAGAGGGCGGGCATCATCTGTAGGATTGCCGCACTGCACCGCGCTGCCCGATCTGAAGCTCTCTATCGGGCAAGACGTCAAAAAAGCACTCGGCTGCGGGTGTCCTTGCACAGGCGCCTCCCTGATCCCTCTCGCTGTCTCTCATGGCCCCGTAACAGTTTTGTCAGATCTTCTCTGCGCGTCTTTAACGGGAGGGCTCCGGCAGCCCAGTCACTGTTTCTTTGGCCGTCCAGTGCGTGGACCAGCATAACGGAAGCTGCCCCGAGCGCATCCGCCGCAGACCGCCCAGCAGAGTCGGACACTCCCCGATCTCTCTGCAAGACATCCCCCCCCCGTCCCACAGCTTCAGCCATCGAGGGGGCCAGGACGGCCCGAGCACGGGCCCCGGAGGCCGAGGTCGAAGAACGGCGCCGGGAATGAGCTGCCACCGTTTCGGCCGATTGGCCCTGGGGGTGCCCCAAAGCTCGCCGAGCGCGCTCTCCTCTGCTCGCAGAGTGCCTGCTCGCAAGCGTCCGAGAAGCCATATGCGTCTGCCTCGTGCCGTTTGTCGTGCCTTCCCCGCGGCAGATCCAGGCCATTTGCGAGTGGCGACTCTGCAAGTCCAAAAAATCCTTCGTGCTGCCCGGCTCCGCCCCCGCGAGCGGCGCCGACGTCGCGAGCGCGTGCCCGCGCGGGGCCTGCGCCTCTCCCCGGCCTCTCCGCCGGGCCCGTCGCCTGGCCGGCCGGCCGGCCGCTCGGGGAGGCTGCCTCTGCAGGCGCTGGCAGGGTCGCATTGTGTGTCAGAAGGGGAAACATATCTGGACGCCCGAAATGGGTACGGAAAGAACGGGTACAATGCCCAACAGCAGTTCCTGTTCATTTTGAACAGGACTCGCTGTCCACGCCGCCGCGGCCTGCGTCCATTCGAGACAGAAGGCCGCCTGCCCAACAGCAGCCGCTGCTGGTTTGGGACAACATTTGTTGTTGGGCATTGTACCCATTCTTTCCGTGCCCATTTCGGGCGTCCAAAACATAGACACGATGAGTCGTCGATCCCCCAGAAACCACGGGGAAATGTGGGAAGTGGGGGGGGAGACGACAATCCCAATACTATGAAACATAATCGACCCACGAACCCGGAAGGGAATGTAGAAATGTAAGGCATGGCAACGCTTCAAAGACACCTGATTGGGCGACGGGCAAATGTAATGCTGAATGTACCGATCTTGGGGACGCACCGCGGGACGTGCCAAGGGGACGCGCTACGGAACGTGCCAATGGACGTGCCACAGGACGTGACAGAGGACCATGTGTTTTCAGGCTTACCCCGCCCTGGGGCGTTAGGAACCCATGTGTTTTCGCGCTTGCTCCGCCCTGGGGCGTTAGGAACCCATGTGTTTTCACGCTTCTCCCGCCCTGGGGCGTTAGGAGCCCATATGTTTTCGCGCTTGCTCCGCCCTGGGGCGTTAGGAACCATGTGTTTTCACCTGTGTCCCGCCCTGGGGCGTTAGGAACCCATATTTTTACCTTTGTAGGGTCTTTTTGGGGTATTTTTTTATTTATCGTCGAAGCTCCCCCTTGTAGGGGGACAGGCCCGACATAACTCTGTTGGCTCCTCGCCGCCACGTCTGGACCCGCCTCGACGGACGCGTCAGGAGGGACCCCTGGGAGGGGGTCTAGGGTTAAGTCGGGCCTGTCCCCCCTACAGGGGGATTTTCGACGAACGATAAAAGATGTCGGGGGACTATGTTTTGCGTATTTGTTGACTCTCTTGGGGTATTTTTGGTGTATTTTTCCCTACCTAGGCTCTGCCTAGAAGGGTTCTTACTCTCTAGCTTAAAGGGGCCGGGCAGTGGAAAGCGCCCCGGGCGGTTCCCCCAGTCCCCGCCCCGCGGTTCCCCCCAGTCCCCTGGGAGCTTTAGCTTTAGCTTTAGCTTTAGCTTTAGCTTTAGCTTAGCTGTAGCTTAGCTTTAGCTTAGCGTTTTGCTCAGCTTTTCGCTTATCGTTTAGCTTAGCTTTAGCTTAGCTTTAGCTTAGCTTTAGCTTAGCTTTAGCTGACCTTTAGCTTAGCTGTAGCTTAGCTTTAGCTTAGATTCAGCTTAGCTTCAGCTTAGCTTTAGCTTAGCTTTAGCTTATCTTTAGCTTAGCTGTAGCTTAGCTTTAGCTTAGCTGTTGCTCAGCTTTAGCTTAGCTTTAGCTGACCTTTAGCTTAGCTTTAGCTTAGCTTTATCTTAGCTTTAGCTTAGCTTTAGCTTAGCTTCAGCTCAGCAGTGGCTTAGCTTTAGCTGACCTTTAGCTTAGCTTTAGCTTAGCTTTAGCTTAGCGTTACTGTTACTACTAATGCTGCTTTCCTAGGGGTTCCAACTCCTAGGTAGGGTCGTACTGGGATAATTTCTTTTTCGTCGAAAGTCCCCCTGTAGGGGGACAGGCCCGACATAACTCTGCCGGCTCCTCGCCGCCACGCCTGGACCCGCCTCGACGGACGGGTCAGGATGGACCCCTGGGATCAGGAGCGAAAGAAGGACGCACATGTCATGAATCCACGCCGGTTTCGAGAGCACGCATTGCACAAATGTTCGTATAACGCGGCTGGTCTCGCGAATCGAGGGGCCGTGTTCATGTACATAGCTGGGTGCGTACGTCCTTTGTGGGCTCCCTATGGGAGGGGGGTCCGGGGGCAGGCCTGCGACGGGCTTGGGCGGCCCAGCGGTGGGGCCGCCGTCGTCTCGGCCGCCTCTCCTCGGCGCTCGGCGCGGCCTCCTCTCGGCGCCCGGTGTCTCCGAGGATGTCTCTCCCCGCGGCTGGCGCTGGAACGGCAGCGCGCGGTGTGGCGCCGGCGGGGCCCGCCGCCGAAGCCGCTTATCACACGCGACCCCCCACACCGGGGACGGTGTGCACAAACACTATATATATAGAGAGAGATAAAAACAAATTATCCCAGCGCGACCCTGCCTAGGAGTTGGAGCCCCTAGGAAAGCAGCATTAATAGTAACAGTAAAGCTAAGCTAAAGCTAAGCTAAAGCTAAGCTAAAGCTAAGCTAAAACTAAGCTAAAGCTAAGCTAAAGCTAAGCCTAAGCTAAGCTAAAGCTAAGCTACTAAAACTAAGCTAAATCAAACCTAAAGCTAAGCTAAAGCTGAGCTAAAGCTGAGCTAAAGCTGAGCTACAGCTAAAGCTAAAGCTAAAGCTAAGCTAAAGCTAAGTTAAAGTTAAGCTGAAGATAAGCTAAAGCTAAAGCTAAAGGTAAAGCTAAAGCTAAAGCTCCCAGGGGACTGGGGGAACCGCTCCCAGGGGACTGGGGGAACCGCCCGGGGCGCTTTGCACTGTCCGGTCCCTTTAAGCTAAGAGAGTAAGAACCCTCTAGGCAGAGCCTAGGTAGGGAACAATCTATAAGAATAATGATCATAATAACAAGCATACTACTACTACTAATACTACTACTACTACAACTAATAATAATAATACTAATATTATTATTATTAATAATAAAAATAACTTACTACTACTACTACTACTACTACTACTACTACTACTACTACTAATACTACTACTAATAATAATAATAATAACAATAATGATATTAATACTAATAACAATAATGACACAACTAGTACGAATACTACTAATCATAGTAATAATGACAAAAATCATTGTGGACGGTGCGCACCGAGAAAGCCCTGGCCTTGGGATAGCGTGCGCAGTGACGAGGCCCTCGCGGGGGGATCGCCTCACACAGGGACAGCGTGCTCTTCTTTCGGAGATCGATGCTGCACATCGCCTTGTGCTTGTGAATCGTACGGATCTGGATGCGTTCGAGGCGGGTTGCAGCTGGCCGCTCTGCGCGCCAGCGCGCTCGCGGGACCCGTGCGGGCCGTCCCCCATTCGCCCAGGAGCTTCCAAGGGCCACAAGCAGGAGATCAGAAGCAGCAAGAAGGAGGACGAGACCGCCATCGTCAAGAAAGCCTTGAGGAGCCACGTGTCGTCAGTGCCAGTGCCAGGAGGAGGAGGAGGAGGAGGAGGAGGAGGAGGTGGAGGAGGAGGTGGAGGAGGAGGTGGAGGATGGGGTGGTCGGAGGGTGCCATGCCTCGACCGCCTCCGCGGTTGGGGCGCCTGCGAGCGCCAGTGGTACGCGACGGCGGTCCGCCAGCGTGAGTGCAGCAGCAGTCATGGGCATCAGAAAGGGTGGAAGTTTCGGGTTCGAGGCTCGAGGCTTTCGGACGCTCCGTCGGTTTTCTCCGCGGGTTTTTTCTCCGCCGCGGGGTGCTTTTTCCAGCAGCTGCGCCTTTCGCCGAGAGCGCTCCCGGGGCGCCCGGCTCGTCCCGAGCGGCCGGCGGAGGACGTGTGTGTGGGGGGGGGATCGGCTCAGGGGGGGAGGCAGCGACCCCTCATCGCCCCTCGCCGACAGGAGCCCGACAGGCCGCGCAGCCCAGGAACGTGCGTCTTCGCTACCCGGGGGTCTATCGTCGATCTCTATCGGCGATGGATCGCCGATCCTGGGGCGATGTTTTCCCCCCTGAGGCGGTTCCTCCCCCCCCCACGCTCCACCTCAAGCAGGGGGAAGCTGCGTGGGAGGAGGAGGAGAACGGGGCGGCGGGTCGAAGACGCCTGCTGCGAACCGCCTTGGGCCATCTTGGAGGCCATCTTGGGGACCATCTCGGGCGGCATGTTGACATGACGTTTCATGGGTGCCTGTGAGCGGGGCAAATTGGAGGAGGGGCACGGGCAAAAGCGGCAGCGCCAGCAGCTGGAGTTGCAACTATGTACCCCGCTGACCAGATCGCTCTCGGAAGGCCTCAAGACGGCCCAGCATAGCCCAACAATATGGCTCTAAGACGCCCTTCTTCCGCTCTCCAGATTGTAATTTGGCAGGGGCATCCTTACACAAATGGGAAATCGTCGACATCGCTCTTGCCCACAATGGAGATTTCGCTAGGGACGTCTTCACAAAAATGAGATGTTGTCGACGACCTTTTGGTCTTGGTCTTCCCCAACATGGCGATTAGCTGATTTCACTGGGGACGTCCTCAGAAGGAGATGTTGCCGACATCGTCCTGGTACCGCCCTTGCCCAACATAGCGATTTTGCGAGGGACATCCTCCCAAGCATGAGATGTTGTCCGCGTCGTCTTGGTGTCGCTCCAAGATGACCCACGCGGCTGGCCAGGCGGGTTAACAGGGCAAGGCGGTGACCAGGCGTGTTGTAACGGCCAGGCGGATGCGGATTAAAACGACCAGGCGGGTTAAAACTGCGAGGAGGGTTAAAACGGCCAGGCCAGTTCCAACGGCCAGGCTGGTGAAAACGGCCAGGCGGGTTAAAATGGCCAGGCGGGTTCATGCGGCCACGCGGGTTAGAACTGCCACGTGAGTTAAATCTGCCACGCGGATAAGAACTGCCAGGCCAGATAATACGGCCATGCGGGTTAAAACGGCCACGCGGGTTAAAACGCCCAGGCGGGTGCAAATGGCCAGTTAAAACGGCTGGGGGAGTAAAAGAGGCCAAGCGATTTAATATTGCCATGCGGGTTGAAACGGCCACCCGGGTTAAAACGGCCAGGTTTGTAAACCAGCGAGGCGAGTGAAAACGACCAGGATGGTTCAAGCTTCCAAGGATGCCAGCGCGGCCAGGCGGGTTTAAAAGGACATGCCGATGAAACCAGTCGCGCGGTCGTAATTACCACGTGGTTTGAAGCTGACATTCGAAGCTGACATTCTGGTCGAAACGGCTAGGCGGTTTCAAACGCCCAGGCGGGTCGAACATGCCAGGCGGGTCAGCGCGGCCAGTCGGGTTCAACCGATAGCACCGTGGACATCCTTACATATATGACCGATCTCTAGCATACCATGTTCAAACTGATGTTTCTAACATCGTCTTGGGATCCCGCTTGAAGGGTCTCAAGACGGCTCAAGAGGGCCCGAATCCATTCCGAGAGTCTCTCAAGACGGCCCAAGAGTGCCCCAGGATCCCCCACAGGATGCGACAAGGGCGATGGCAACATATGACGTAGGAGGAGGAAGAACGGACAAGCTGGCGAGTTCGCGCCATCACAAAGTACAGTGGAGACCCATGCCAAGAAACACCATGCTTGCCTCCAGGGTGCCCTGTTTTTTTTGGGTTCCGATCATTTTCCCATGTGACGTTCCGGTTTCTTGTTGTCCGGCCCTACTATAAGTTGCGCGTTCCGTCCCCGTGCCCGAGAGCGCCCCAAGACAGCCTAAATTGGCCCCAAGACGGTCCACGAGGCCCCCAGGACACGTTAAGATGGCTCCAAGACGTTCCAAGAGGGCCCCAAGAGGCCCCCAAGAGGACCCCACAGATGCTAAGATCGTCAAATTCTTTTTGGGGAGACCAGTATTTTTAGCATATCAGCTTGTTCACAGGGTTCAAGACAGCCCAAGAGGCTCCCGAAATCGCACCTAGACGGCCCCGCTTGGGGCCCCCTTGGGGCTATTTTGGGCCGTCTCGGAGTCCTCT